GCATGGCAACACAGGCTTCTCCCACAAGGGGAGCATTCAAAATTGGAGCAGGCTGAAGAGACCTGCTGTGTAGCTCAGGAAGGTCTTGTGTAAGAACCTGGCGCCTCAGGAAGTACTACATGTACAGCTTGTAAGTCAGGGCAATTCATTTGACCTGTCAGTTGGAGAGTTACACTTGTCAGTAGTACCGCGCGGAGCATTGTGCAGCAGCATATAGATGGTAGGTTGTCAGACTTGGGGTGAATTCATGCCTTGGAAGTGCTGGATGAAGGGAATGGAAAAAGCACTTGTAATGTACTTGGGCAGAGGAGTCTCAGAAAACATGGGAAGTAATCAGTGAGAGAAGTGTATCATCAATGTGCTATCAAGTGGTATACCCTTTGGCCTATACAGTTAAACCTCTGCACCATGAATGTACGTATTAATTTGAGGCAACTCAGCAAAAATTGGCCAGGGAAATTTTCAAGCTGGGAAGTATACATGACCTTGTATTTGTTTAGGTTGATCATCAAAATGATTTTAGAGTGACTGTAAAATTGGAATACAGTATTTTAATAATAATCACAGCCAAATTTGAATTAAAAATTAATTCAACAATTTTTTCTCATCTCCATGAGACATAAAAAATGATGCCATCATTTTTTTCTCAAGAATATGACAAAAATCACAGCACAAGGTGATTACTGAGCACAAATAATTGAAGCACAAGTTGTTTGGCCTGTTCCCACATACATTTCAACTGATGAAAGAATAAAAACTAAACTTGTAGGAAAAATAATGTAAAGTTAAGCATTTCTCTTGGTCCTCTAAATCGAAGAGTTGGGTGAGTACCCTTTTAATATGTTGTGAGAATCCTACTTCTAATTGAAGATAAAATTCAGGTTTCTGTTGTGAGGAGTAATTCTTTTAAACAGAGGTGCAAAAAGTGACTGAAGGTGGCCAGGGGATATATCCATGGCATTTCTTGCAGTAGAATGCAGTAAACTGAAGACATTTTCAAAATGGGAGTTCTCAAATTCTCCAGAGAATTAGAGGGGAAATCTGGAAAGGAATGCGCAGGACAGAGTGGTTTTTCCCGGGAAGAGGCGTTGACCGTACGATCCTCGGTTCCTCCTGCTGTGCGTCCCTTGAACTCGCCCCAGCTGTCCTTTCCTTGTTGGTGTTGCCGGTTGCTGACGCGTCGGTACCGAACATTTCCTGCATCAGTTTTTCTCACACCTGGATCCAGTGCTGACAATGAAAAATCCATGGGGACCCCTTTTTAAAAATGAAGCAAGGAAAAAATATGCAAACAAATTAAACCCTATTTTAGTATGACGATGTTGAATTTTGAACAATAATTCTATTGATATTCTTGGAAATCGGTGATCATGTTCAAGGTTTTTAAATTTTTGCAGCACATGACACTGTCATCTACAGTGGAGTCAGCTGATAAAAGAATTGTTCCATTTTTATGTTTGTGAGATATTCTGGAACAATCTCAATTCTTTCCTTGAGAAAATTTCGAGTTTTAAAAAATTTCAAATTGGAGGGACGTTTTATAAATACTGTTTAATATCTGGTAAGTAATTAAGCTGGGCATTCATTGGTTGCATCCCCTCAGCAGTCCCTTAAGCAAGGCTGTGCCTTCTTGGGAGGGGGGCGAGAAAAGACGCTCACGGAAAAGTCGGGGCCCAAGAGGGGCGCCACAGACCAAAGAGAGCCCGCCCCCTCCCCCCCCCCCCCCCCACCAGGTTGACAATGGCTCAGTCTCTGAGCAACGTTCCGCGCAGTTCCTCGCGCCATGACGCAGTGAAAAGACTCCTTTAGTGAACTGAAAGCTCGCGTCGCAGTGAAACTGAAAACAGCAGCAAAATGAAGGATAATCTCGTCAGCTCGTCGGTCCTGTTCCGCCGGGTTTGTGGTTTGACGACGAGAACAGCGAGTCTCACTGTGGCCATCGCTGACCTGGTGCGTACTCACACTACAGTTACAGTAGAATTTTGAGGGACCAGCAAAAGAATTCAGCTGGAAGAGGTTCTAACTTTGGGAGGAGTTGAGGAAACAAGAATTTTTTTTGTGGGAAAAAACCAAGAAGTGCTGGAAATTGTTGATGGTGATATTCTGGGCATTGAATTTATTCTTGAATGAGTTAACACGATGCTGAAGTTGGAGGCAGGGGTTCATTTGCCCAATTATTCTTTTACTTCATTTCAAAACACAATGTGATTTTTTCATCGCTTTTCACTTTCATGTTTCAAGAAACTAATGGCCAAAAGGCCTAAGAAAATTTGAGTTACTGAGGTTTTAGAGGAAAAGCCCTCAAGTTGAACAGGTTTTGAATGCATTGTTCCTAAGGGAATATGGATGGGACTTGAAAAAATTGACTTCAGGATTTTTGAGGTATAGGTGGTACCTTGCAATTCAATCTCCTGAAATTCAACCATCCCACAATTCAATGGTCAAACTTGTAAGGAGGTTGACTCTTGATTCAATGTTGGCTGCTCAATTTGACTTGTGGAGATGCATGAAATGTCAATGCCATGTAGAAAACATGCAATTTGATGTAGTAAGACTTAAAATTTCAATGCTTTGGAATCCAACCCTAGTTTGGCAACAAATTCGGGTCAAATTGCAAAGTTCCACCTATATTAAGGTTTAACTGTATATACAGTAGCATCTTGTTACAGGGCAATAATGAATCATACAATTTGGAGTAGTCATTGTCTGCATCTTGAGAAAAGTATTTGCATTTAATTTTTGGAAAATATTTTCAATCTCAAGTCTATAGGAAAATGTTTTTCAACATGCACAAATTCCAATGCATGGACTCAGTCAGAGACATATAATTACATCAACCTTTTGGGGCCCCACTGTACAACAAGCAACAAACTTACATAAGTTGAATTACACCATTTGGGTTTTTCCGGAAGGAAATGAGATTTTCTGAACAATGCTCAGTGAAGTTACTAGGGGTACAGTAAATATATTGAGGAAGGAAAAAATAGGTTACCATCTGAGAATTCCTGCACATTTAATCTTATGACTCAGAAAGCAATTTTCCAGTGCACTTGTGACATGACAAGTGTACTTGTGATATCACACCCAGACTGTGCTGCTGTCATGCCTTGCAGCTTCAGATGTTCTGTGGCATATAGTGGCCTGACAGGTCCCATTGGTGTGCTCTCAACAAATTATACATCATGCATAGATGAGCACAACAAGAAAGCTCCTAATTGGAGATCCATCCTCTGTAAGAAATCTAGCCAGAATAATGATTTTTCCTGCCACCAAGGCCCAAGCTTTGATGGCTGCTCTCCACCTCCTTATTCCCTCTGGTTTGCTGCAAAGCTGTCATACCAGTTGGAACTGGATCTGTGCCTGTGACATGACAAGTGCACTTGTGAAGTCAAAAGCCTAGACTGTGCCACTTAAATGCCTTGCAGCTTTGGCTGCACAGTGACATCTAGTGGCCCAACCAGTCCCATGAGCACACTATCAACAAATAAACATCACAATGTCAAAACTATGAAGTGTTGCACATGCATCTGTACACGTATTAATTGTTGGTCTGGTGTCATTGGTTTGAGCACCATATCTAAAATATATCTTATTCATGCTCTAAACAAGAAGTTGCATTCATTTGAACAACCCTGGCTATAAGAACAAAATCTTATTTTACAAATGTTGTCCTCAAGTCATAGTATAGAGAGAGTAATTGGTCTTGTGGAAAGATGTTTCTGCAATTGCAAAAGTTTCTTTTTATTAAATTCTTGCAAATTTGGATAAAAAATGAATAAATAAGCAGAACAAAAAGAGCTCCTAATTGGAGATCCTTCCGCAGTGAGAAATATAGCCAGTAATCCCAGATTGATAATTTTTCCTGCCACCAAAGCCCAAGCTTTGATGGACCCTCCTCCTTACCTCTGGTTTGCCACAAAGCAGGCCAACCCGGTGGATTTGGATCAGTGTCTGTGACATAGCAAGTGATGGATTTTCTTTGTTGAACACAACTTCCAGTATTCAAAGGTTATAAAAATTTCTAGTTGGTTCATGCCCTTCAGGGGTGAGAACCTGAATCAGCCCAGAAGAAGTAGTTGACCATTGGAAAATATGCTTGACTGAGGCTCATCCTCCTTGTCCAAATGTTCCAGTTTTTATTTATTTATTTTTCAAATGCACTAACAAAATGCCATGCCCTATTTTTAATGGATGATCCTCTTTCAGTCTATGATGAAGGGCATGCCAGAAGTGGTTTTTGAAACAAAACCTGTTAAAATCCAAGTTTCTGGTTGAGGTTTCTTGATGGCTCCATGACCCAGTGTGAGGTTGGGAACAAATCATGAAAACGTGATGGGTTGTAGCATGGGTGGCGTTTCTGGAGGAAAGGTTTCATGTTTTTGGAGCCCCAGTTGTATTGGTGTTGGCAAGAGGACATGAAATCGGTGTTTGGTGCGCCCTGTAGAGGTGTTTTTTAATGTTTGACAGTGTTTGAAATTTTAATCTGCGAGAAAAACATTCCTGGATAGAGGCTAAGTTACATTGGTTACCATCGCAGAATACGTTCGTTCACTGCATACATTGGTTTTTTTTTTTGTTGACTTCGCTCAAACGGTTTTTTTGAGGTGTGTCCAGGAGGTTGAATGTGGATGTGTTTGATTTTTTTTTTCGAATCTGCTTGTGATCGGTGTGTTTTTCGCTTCTCGGTGTCAGACCCACAGGTTTTTTCAAAGAATCTCTAGACCGAACACCGTTTCCTCATTTGGGGCAAACTGTGATAGTTTTTTCGGTTCGGGAAGCAGTCCTGGGTAGTTGTACATAGTTTGTTTCCGTTTTCCACTTTCCACCTACAGGGTTTAGATGCTGCCAATGTTATGGTACTTATTCCGGCGAATATATTCTATGATGCGTCCGTCGTTTGTTTTATTGGTTTCTGGCGTACGGGTAACTTCTTTTGCGTCGGGTGACGCTCCGAAAATGTTCCGCAGTTTTGGAAGAATGGAGCATAAATATATGCGTGTATGTTGCAGTTGCCTCTTGAAAAGTGGGGTAAAGTAGGGTAAATTTAATTTCAGCTATTCTACTATGCCTCAAAATTATTTTATTGCTGAAGTTTTTTGTAGAGAAATTTCCTTTCCACTGGGTTCTGATTGAGGTAAGCATTAATGTTTATTCAAATTAAAATTGCAGAATTTTAAATGCATTCCATTTTTTCTCGAAGTTGGCAATAAAATAATGAAGGGACACCTTCCTGTATGTCATCTAAGGAGCTTTGATTAATTAAAAAGTACACATTGAATTCAGTGGAGATGATCTCATCTTATGGTCATTTTGAAAAGCATTAGAACCATTTTGCAGAAGTCGAACTAGGAACACTGTTGGATCTTACATTTCTGCAGTGATGCAAGCTTTTACGTCAGTGATATGAAAATCTGAGTGGGGATGTTTCCCTTAAAATTTGTGATTCTGATTTCCAACAGTAAAGTTGATTTTCCAGTGGTTAAAATTGAATGATTGTGCTGTTAAATCAACTTCTATGATAACACATGATGTGTAAATGAGATTCAAAGGATTCATTTGAGAGTAGCTGCAAAATGTGATTTTAATTTTTTTATTATCTCTGGTTCAAGTTTAAATTTTACAAAATGAATATCATTGTGCAAAATTGTGAGGCAAGAATCTGCAGAAGGCGTTTGTCCACAAATTCCTAATGTTGAGCGGCTGCTATCATCAGTCTCCTTTACACCATTCCTTATATGCAGAACTCCAGAAGTTAAGGAGAAAATTCTCCAACCAAGTAAGTCTCAGAGAAATGCAACATGGGAATTATATGGAAGTGATTCAGTTCCATGAATATAGCCTTAATGCTTCCCATGCAAAGCAGTATTACGTGGAGAAAATACTGTGTGTCTCCATTGCAAAGTGTTGGACCATTTCAATGAGAAATCCGAAATTAAAATTTTGCATTTTCGTATTTTTAATATACAATTACGTGGGTGAAAAAATATAAAAGCACTTACTGTACTGTATTCCTGGATTGCAGTACAAGAAACTTGGCCAACTGTGGACGTATTTTTAGTGCTGTTTTGTTTTGACAGATTTGATCTGATTTTGAGGCCATTTTTAAATGACATTTGAAATTTGTAACATTTGCTCCAAGCATAGGACATGATACAAAGTTTTGCTTTTTGGCCAGAGAAAATTTGTTTCTGGGGAGAAGCCATAGTGATTACTGGTGCCTACTTCTCAGCTCAGGATTTGCAACTGACTGCATGAGCACTTTGCCATCTAAACTTACACTTGCACCGTGATCTCCATACTCATAAAATGAACCCCGTTTTACATGAAAAAATTGACCCAGTTAATCTATAATTTAAAACTCTGAGATTGGCAAGAAGCTCAAACCCTTGATTATTCTGATGGCACAGCAAAGATGAAAAAATACTCTTTAACCATATTTTATTCTGTTGGCACAACAAGGATGAAACAAATATTCTTGAACCATATTTTTGGAACTTGTGAGAGAGACAACAAAAGCTGTTCATCCAATGTATTCATGCCACATAGAAAATTACTTTCGCAGCCCCACCATAACATGGATGGCTTCTGATGGATCACCAGTCACCACCCTTGTTATATTGCTCTATAGTAGGTCACACTATTTCTTGGGTCTTCATCAGCAATATTTGTATCCTGTTTCCAGATATCCAAAACAAATTTGTACAGCAATACAAGTTAAGGAAAGTCTCATAGAATAGGCAAATTTCTTTTCTGTCAAAAAGTAGGAAAAAACAGAGATTCAATTAATTCAGTGCTCACTGAAGGTACTGTATTTCCTGGTTTTCTTGTAGATGAGGGACTTGAATTGTCCAGCGATCTTGAAATGCAAGACAATAAGAATGAAGTGATGGGGAGAGTTGCGAAGTACACTGGGGCCCCCATAAGCAGACCTCATCACTTCTCAAACAATGTCCGTATGTCAGAATCCCCACATGATCAAGCTCCTATTTTTCAAAAATATCATTGGGAAATTTTTAAATCACCACTCATGCTTGGACAAAAAAACAAATGCTCCAAAGACTTCATGGAAAAGTACATTAAACTTGAAGGTGCAGAATAAAAAAGGGGCACATTTACAAAAAGATTCATTTTGACCTTATATTCATCATAGTAGGTCAATTTTTCAAGCGATATGCTGTAGACTTAGATCTTGAATAATTTTTTCCCTGGGGATTTTGGCAATGTCTATATCTTGATGAGGCATTGCCCAGATGTTTGAGCTTTCTTTTTTCTTTTTTTTTTTTTTACGTCCAAGTGTCCATAAGTTGCATTGTCGCATTCTTTCTATTTGCGGATCCCACTGTAACTGGGAAACTGCATTTCAGAAGACCAAGATTTAGGTGGTAACGCTTCATTAAATGAGTGACAGAATAATGGGGATTCCAACTACTGTACAAATACTTTACCGTGCGTATCCGAGGCCCCACGTGCTGACAATAATATGAGAGACAACATGAGCTTCATGCTTCCATCTCTGATGGTGTCACGTATTGGAACTTACATCCCATCCTATCAAAATTTTGGACAGTAACCACCAAGACAATCTTCTTCTTTTCCAGAAAAATCTTGGGACAGTGCCTGACATGAAAGGAGAGTGTAGGGAGGGAATATTGCGGCCAAAATCTAGCAACACCTGATTGATTAGTCCCAGACTTTCTCCCAGCATCATGGTTATGCTAGCTGGTCCTATGGATTGAAATGTGTGGTATACATTGGTGTGCCCCATCTTCATCTAAATAATCTTGACTTGACCCATGCCCCACACTTACCTGAAAACTTCATCAAGTGGGGAAGTTTTGTAATGATTCAATAAACAAGGTTTGTAAAACAAATGAAACATATGGAACAAAAATAGGATCCATTGAGGCTTGAAGTTGATTGCAGATGAAGCAAATGCTCCATCAACAGCTTTCAAGGTAAAAGACAACCATGTCTGTAAGAAAACTCATAATGATTAAGACCTGAAATAGCACTTCTTCTAAGCAGGACTCCGCCACGGAAAGTGATGAGGTACAAGCAGAGGCTCATCAGTGAGTCAGGATGGTTGAGAAATTCTGTTGCATATGCCAGTATTCCCCAACCCCTGGTTCAAGGACCAGCACCAGTGTGCAGAAGTTGTTTGCTGGTCCTCAAGAAATTTTCTGCAGCATAATACATTTAAAAAGTAGCAATGAAGCATGTATTATTTATCTGAAATATCAGAAATACAATGGCAGTTGAAATTACCTGATGAAAAAATAGAAGATTTTTCTTATGATAACCCTTTAGAAAAATGTTCACCTACTGAAATAAATTATTTTAACTTTGTCATTCTGAGAAACCTTTCTTCAAGCCCACCTTTCAAAGTCATTCCACTGTATAGCAGCTTCATTAGTTTCTAATGTTTGCAAAAAAGCAGAAACCTTTTAAATGCCTGCTGTAAATTCTTTCAAGAAATTTTTTTTAGCCAGCCAACATTTTATGAAACGTTGCCAGTCTGCAGAAAATGTTATGGAGATTTCCCAGGCTGCAGGCCAAAAAGGTTGGGGAACATTGCTATACACCTAAGGCCTTGAACTTCAGTTAACTACTTTACTCATTGGTGTGCTGTGAGTGACAAAAGAGGGGAAAAACGAGAAGAAAAAACATTAATCCTCTGTAAAGCTTTTTATTACAGATCCCTAATGATCCAAAAGCCCAACTGCATCCAAAATATGAGCATTTTGCTCTTTTGCAGTCTTGAAGGGATCCATGCTGTTGTTATCTGCATCCTGATTTTCTCAGGAACCCTGGGTTCTTGAATTTTCAACTTCGTATCCATGTCAACTTTCCTCACATGAGCTGACTCCACTGATTGTACTTTCTGGACCAGTGTTCCCCAACCTTTTGGGGCCTGCAGATTGGTGAAGTTGAGCTAAATATTTTTGTGGACCAGCACACAATTTCACAAACATGCAACAGACCTGAGACTGTTTTTTTTTACTGATTAGTATGAAATTCCCTTTCACACATTCTACATAACTAAACAGGGTTGCTGATACTTTTCAATGAAGGAAACAGAACTCTACACTTTTTCAATGAAATATCTGATTCCATTTCAGAAAAATGGGAATAAATCGGTTTGAATTGATACTGCAGTAGTTCCATCAACCATGGAGTATTATTAATGCATAAGCAAGCATGGGCAAGTTTTCAAATTGTCAATGGTTAAGAATTTTCCTGAAAACAGTTCGCAAATTTTGAGACCTGCTGCAAAAGAAAAGTCTTCTGTCCCTTTTTTAAATCCATTGGGAGGATGCACAAGAATTATGTTTGTAGAACTGAATTGTTTTTCATGAATGGTACTTTCCTGTTTGGTAAAGCTGCAAAGTGAATACCTGGAAACTCCACACAGAATATTGGCTTGTTTCTGAGGTGAGCAAGCATGTCTTAGAAAAGAAAATGAGGAAAGACAAGGAAAAATATATTTGATAATGAGAAGGCAGTTGAAAAATGAAATCTGCTAGCAGAAGGAATAGGAAGAATATTTGATTGCAGTTCTAATTTTGTACAGGTATTTTTTATTTGCTCCTCTTCTTAGTTTTTTTTTACGTGTAAGACAACTATTGTCATTTCCAGTGTACGCATAATTTACCCATGCGTAGCAAAATTTCTGGCAGACCAGCAAAAAAGTTCTGTGGACCACTGCTGGTCCGTGGACCATGGGTTGGGAAACACTACTCTAGACCAACACCCTTGAATCAGGAGTCATGGGTGCTGATGTGGTAGTTAATGCAGTCTCCACCCTTTTTTTTTGCTGTCTTTTTTGGTGATCTTCATTTCATTCCCTAAAACCAAAATGTGGTTAGAATCAGACAACAAGACAATCCATTCCTATTCACTCACCCTTGCACAGTACCTCCAAGTGATGGTGTTTCACAGAATCCAAGTTCAACTGTTCTCCAAAGAAGTCCAGCTCATATTTGAACTTCTAGGCATCATGTGCCTTGCATATGTCATCACAAGCTAGGTGGCTACTAACGTCCAAGCATGGAGCCCCCACCGCTAGATGGTGCACCCAGCCAGCCAAAAACACCTACAAAAACATAATTTCATTAATGACATCACCACTTATTTTGTTTGGTTTTGAAATGTACCAGAATTGCTTCTGCCATTTTTCATGTTGTTTTGATGTTTCCCTTGTTTGAAAATTGCTGCTGACTTGCATTGCCCCTTGTTCATTGTACAAAAATTTTTGTATTTCTGCATAGTTCTCAGTCTGCTTATCCCACTGAAATTCAGCCTGAAAAACATGGAATCAATTATTTTCATGTAACAAAGAACACCGTTGAAGCTGTTGAAGAAAAATCACAATGCAAAAAGATACATCAGAAAATGTTGTCAAGGCAAGAAACTTTCACTGGGACTCACTTGAATTAGAGATGTTCACCTCTCTAGAAAATTACACAGAATGAGCCCAATCCTTCAGATCAAATCTGAGGAAAACAAGTCTCATGACCTGTTCAGGGATGCCTGATCCTCCTAGGGTGTGGGAATTGACATTCCCCAGCATCCCACTCTTTATTCCTTTTGGACTCCTGCCTTTGGCTGCGTGGCTGCCACATATGGGAACCCCATTGAATAATCTCAATGCCCAGCCCAGGTATGTCACATACATTGACTGAGACATCATTGATATGTTCATTTGCATGACATATCTAAGGAGCACTGGAATATACTTTATTACTAGAACTTATGCATAATTTCTAACTGGACTCCCTCACATCTGAAAATATGGAACTTTCTTCAAATTTGTTTGCAGAGAGTTTGTCATCCTTGATTTTAGAACATCCATGTTAATAATACTTTGTATATGTTGCAGTATTTCTCCAACATGGTAACATACAGAACTTTCCCACTGCATGGTTAGCAACCCAGTTGCTCAACATTGCCTGGTCATTGGTCACTCACTTTTCAACCATCCCAGTTTCATTTAGGTTTCTACAGGGTCATGCACCTTTACTTGTCTGGTATTCAGAATCTATAAAGGAGTTTCCAAAGACTTCTTCCATATTCAATGCTGGTTTGGTCTGGGCTGCAGATTTTTGTACAGAAAAAATATTCACTCATCAGAAAAGAGAAGTGTCTCATTTCATGTCACCCCACCCATAAGAATTAATCACTTCTCTACTTACATTGTCCTGACAGAGTAATTTCAGAATGAAGTAATTTATATCTGCAACAAAGACATTCAACACATTTGCATTTACTTCGGTAAAACGTCTGACAACTTAGGATAACAAAGCATTAATTTGGCCTACCAAGATTCTACTGTACTCAGAAACCAGTACTGTACAGTACAGTCCTGTGCAGGGCAGTGGGACCCCACAGAACAGACTCCTCTTACAACTGCCAAGCTCTTTAGAGCAGAATGAGCTGTACTGAATCATGTAGCCTCTGCTCAACATGTACCATATCATTTTTTTGAAAAGATGGGCATTTATCCCTGTGGAATGGTTGAGACCGTTCTGTGGGTGGGTTTGTTTGGAACAACTGCTGTATAGTGCAGTACTGTACATGACAATGCACTAAATCCCCGCTTGGCCAAGAGTAAAAAAAAAAATTGTGACAACAAGATTACTTATTGTGACTAGTACAGTTGTGCACCGGTTTACAGATAACCCGGGTTACAGATTTTTGGGTTATGGACCAGATCCATTTTTGCCAGAGTGCTCTGGCTTATGGACTGTAAACCAGTTTATGGACTGCAGTTGGGCTGTTGCATGTGTGGCATTCAGAACACTTCTTCTTCCCAATTCTTTTTGGCACAAAAATTTGCATTCTAAAGCTTCAGCTGGACCATCAGGTGGTCAAGCTGGGGCATCTGGTGCCCTGAAACGGGCAATTGATGGTGAAAGTGACTCTGACTGAGTTTTTTTTGTAATGATTTTGTAATTGACTGACCTAAGAACTGTGCTTCATTGTTTGAAGTATTGTCAGAACATGAAGTGCAGGCGTTTTACTGTCACAGAAATGTCAGTGCTTTCTTTAATTTTCCATTTTTTCCACCAAAATTTCAAAATCCAGAACAAATTAAAAATTTTTAACATTGCCATCTTATGGCAGATCATGTTTCAGGTTACAGATATACCGGTTTATGGACAAGTCTGTGGAATGAGTCAAGTCTGTAAACTGGTGCACAACTGTAGAATGGTTTTGTTGTAACAAAAGCTTAGTGATATAAAGTAAATGATTTTAATTTGTGGCTATTGGACAGGGACTTGAAGAATTCTTTCGTTGTAAGCGGTTATTCGGGATAAAGAGACTCCACTGCGCATGAAACTGTTTTTGGGTGCTTATGTTTTGTCATGCACACTTTTTTTTTACATGAGAAACCCAATTTCGCTCATGTTCAAATTATTGAAAAAAAAAAACATGTGATGCGTTCCAGAAATTCGCAAAAATCGTTGTAAAACATTGAAAACCTTCATGTTCATTTCAGCAAGTTAGAAGAAATAAATCGTAAGGGATTAGAGGAACATGCGAGTAATCCGGACAATTTTATGCACTTACGTTTCTGAGATTAAATAATTTTTTAATTTTCTCTGTTCCCTTTTACAGAGCATGTCTCAATTTAAAGAGAAAAAAAGTCGGTAGTTGAAATGCAAGACCATGCAATTTGTCCTGTTTTAGTCTAGGAAATTCCGTAATGCGCATTATTATTTTTTCAGTCATTTTCTCCCCAGAGAAATGTTTGCGATGCTAAATTTTTGCTGCATGGCCTTCGTGAAGTGGGGGGTTCAGTTATATAGTTATAACATTCATCTCAGTCCACGACGATACATTGTATCAAGTTCCTGTTTTAATTTTAATTTCCCTGATTTCAGCTCATCAGTGCCTTGAACCTCATCATCATGATCCTGGTGATGCACATGTTGGGGGAATACGTGTCCTTGATGCTCAACTTGGGTGAGTCTATTTCTCTGGAAAGTGAATTACAGTACCTCGCCATGCTGCAAAATTTGACGTGAAAAAAGCTGTTCACTTAAAAGCTTGTACAGTACTGTATATCTACGATCTACGATGTTCAAGTTCCTTTTTGGTACTGCACTTAACCTGCGAAACACAGCTATCCGGACCCGGAAACAAATGACGTTCCCGAAAATTTGGGATCATAGCTGTGAAACCCGCGGGGAATAAGCAGGTATCCTTTGTGTCCCAGTGAAGGAAACGAAATTTGTCTCCGTGACGTTGACTCACAAGCTTTCAATTTGCATCTCGGCATAGAAAGCATTTTGCATTCTCATACCATCAAGTGCGTCTTTATTTTATTTTATTTTTATCGTGGATTTGTGCATTTGAAGCACGGTCTGAGCTGCATGTATACGTACCTGATCAAGAGTAATGCGAATAATATGAAGGTGGATGTCAATTTTATTATATGTAAATAATAAAATTATGTTTTCTCAACTTCGAGATGCAGACGATAATAGTTGAGTAGAAAACCACACATGATCGGATCGTTCGGCATGAAAAGGAGCAAAAAAAAAAAACCAAAAAAGAAGCACAAGACTTAATTCCTATACATATACAGCTTACAGAACTGTCATCAGGGGATGAAAATAACCTTGAAAAAATAAGCACGAAATTATCCTTCTTTGGATTTGAATTATTATAAATGTAAGCTATAAAGAAAAGTAATAAGATAAGCTTAATTCTTTCGAAAGATATAAAATTTTGAAGAACAAAATGCATCCATTTGTTCAGGAATGTTGCTCCAGTGTCAGTATCTTGAAACATTTTCCAAATTTCGGGGCAGATTTCTGAATACCATTCGTCCCAAAGTCAATTCGTCCATATGTCAGTGCCCCAGTGCATAAAAAAAAAACAGGTTAAGCTCCGAAACGAAAATACGCTTCTCCTGTTGTTTTCATAAAAAATGAATGTTGTTAGCTAGCCACTTTTATTCAAGCCGATATTTGAGGCAATATGATGGGGCAGGGTTGATGAAAAAGCTGGAAAGAAAATGGTTCAGTGCGAGGCTTATATTCTTACTCGGAACTGCCGTGTAAGTGTGTGTGTGCGTGGGCGCGGGAAAAGCAGCAATATTTACCCCAGTAAGATGTTGCTTATGCATGAGCCAGCTGTTGTCAGTTTACGCTGGAGCTCTTGAAGTACAGTACACCATACTGTAGAGTCAAGTATTGCGTGGCCCGTGGTGGGTGTAGTCCAGAAGCCCCCCCTGCCAAAAGCCCCCCTTGGTGCAAAAATTGGGGATTACAGGTATTCTTGTAACTCTTGATGGTAAGCTGCACATTTCACCAGCAGGCCCAGCACGAGGCCAAGTACCAATATGTTTGTAAGTTGAGCATATAAAGGGATTCTTCACCTGCAGTGGTCATCAGTGATTTGTTGAATGCCAAAGCATCACCACTTGCTGACTTCTGCAAAATCTACAGTTCACCTTGTTGGTCCAATGGCTGGTGCATTTCAGATCATCAAGAATCAGAAGGGGAGTCAGAAGGCATACTAAAATGGTTATTCGGAAGAAAATGACATGGAGAGCATCAGTGACAGTGAGGAAGAGGCTACAGAAAGCAATTTTGAAGATGATTATTAAACAGTCCTTTTGAGGACTAATGAAACCAAATAGCCCTTCTTTAATAGTGTCCGCCAAACACTATTATGAAACTTGCATCCAATTCTAAAAAAGTGGTGGGGGGCTTTCCGGGGGGGGGGGAAGGGCTTTTGGCAGGGGGGCTATTGGTTGGGTACCACCCGTGGTATTCCGGACGGTAAATCGGCGCCATGCTTCATCTGTGTTTATAAACCTGGGCGCAGAAGCATTGATATGCGTTCTGGGAGCCGCAGGTTATCCTCGTCAAGAAACTCGACTCGTGTAAAGCGATTTTCATTTTGAAAAAAAAAAAACGAAACCCCTGTGTAGCTGGTGGTCTCTTATTTATTCATTCATACAATTTATTTAACCTTCAGCGCTGCATCTTGCATACCGAGAAAAAGGTTTCCGCATCGCGTTGCTTCATGTGCTGGTTGATATACGAGGGTCTTGACAAAAGATCATGCAATCATTCAAAAGATGTCATACAATTGAGCTGAAAAAGTGTATTCTTTAGCGAAAACATATTCTTTGGCCCAAAAAAATTAGTTCTGTCTGAAAATTTGTTTTAAAGCTTTTGCAAAATTCACCCTAGCAGAGTTTTGCTCTCCACTCAAAAGATGAGGCGCCCTTTTTTGTTGTAGCCCAGCTTTCCCGTCAGAATTTTTGAAATCAACATGACATTCTTTCCAAGGGTTGCCTCCAGATCTTCCAAGACAATTCCGCCATTTTCATCGACAGCCGCCGAAGTGGCGGCTGTGAAGGCGGCTGTTGATGAAAATGGTGGAATTGTCTTGGAAGTGCTACAACAAAAAAGGGCGCCTCATCTTTTGAGTGGAGAGCAAAACTCTGCTAGGGTGAATTTTGCAAAAGCTTTAAAACAAATTTTCAGACAGAACTAATTTTTTTGGGCCAAAGAATATGTTTTCGCTAAAGAATACACTTTTTCAGCTCAATTGTATGACATCTTTTAAATGATTGAATGAACTTTTGTCAAGACCCTCGTATACTGGTATTGTATTCGAAGTGAATTTGACTCTGATGAAATTCGCAGTTGCAACATTTGTCGCGAGAGGGTTCAACGAAGAAATCCCAGTTGATAAATGTTTGAGAGCAATTGAAAAAGAGCACAATTTAGTTGAGGCCGCAAGATATTTCGAGGGTTTTCGAGGGGATTTTCAGGCGAGAAATACAGTACTCTGTTGCAACTCATTCGAGGGACTGAAGCTCAGCAAAATAAAACCTTGCTGGATTCCGAGTCTGTTGAGGATTTCCCCAAACAAAGAGATTTGATGAGTAAAACACCACAATCAGCCTGGGACTGGCTGAAATTGGTATCTATTAATATGTCCCAAAAGAATAAAAAACGAAGCATCTTCTTCGAGAGAAATATACACACACAATATTTCATGCGATTATGAAGATAATTGTTTGGATATTTAGCAGTGGAAGCTAATTATGGGAATGAGATGTTCAGTACAGGTTTTCAAAGGGTTTATAGATATCTTTGGTGCGGAGAAAGGGGACTTGTTGTTTGGCAAGTAGATTCAATTCATTTTTTTCTGATTTACAAATATCTAAGGATTTTGGGGGCAAGTGCTATGAGGCTCTTGAAGCCCAGCACCGGTTTAAAGGAATCAAGTACAGTGAGACCCCCACATGCGGACGCCTTGACCTGCAGACAATTCAACATAGGGACACTTATTTTCCCAGAAAAAGTTAATAAAAATGGCCTGACATGAGGACACTGACTCAACATAGGGACATTTTGTGATAAAATTGCAAATACATTTCCAGCCTACTTACAAGAAACAGATACTGTATTTCCAACCCTGAAATTGATGTAAGAAAAGTTCTTGGGCATTTTTCTCACCAAATTACCATCCATTTAGCTAATTTAAAAAAATTACCTCCAGCATAGAGGGACTTCTACTTTTTTTCACTTGAATGTTATTTTTGTAGATGCCAAAATTTCAGTGTACAGTACAGGGATACACTATTCAATGCTCCAAATGTTCTTATTGAGTTGAAAATGTATTCACTAATTCAAATTCAAGTGGCAAACATTTTTTTTCAGGAAATTCTGAAGAATATTTCTTCCAGAAAACACCAATTAAAAATTGTATAATGTAAATCTATGGGAAAACAAGACTCGACTTAGGGACATTTCAACTTGGGGGCACTCTTGATGCACCAATTACATCCGCATCTTGGGGTCTCACTGTAGTTTAATATTTAAATATTCAAGTAGTGTGCGCGGCAGTCCCCAACAGAATCAAATACATTACTGTAACGATAAATACGCCAAAATTAAAATCGGGCCCCTCAACAAAAATGAACGTGACCCCAGAACATAAACTGTATTTAATTCCTGATGACTGGCCCCCGTGCTGGCTTGGAAATTCGGAAACTGCCTGCAATTGTGGGAAGAAACTTGATGGGAATTTTAACCAAAAATCGAGTGGCATTTAGAAATGCGATAGCTTTGTTTAGGGTTCGTCAGCCACAGCTATTTTGTTTGTAGCTGCCGGTTGTTTCATCTGCATGAATTGAGCTCTTGATGTCAACATTTCCAGCCCCCACCCCATTCATCAGATTCACGCGAAACAAAGGGACGATATTTCTGAATAATTTTGAATTTTTATGATAAATTTCTGTGATATAAACATGCAGTTTCATGAATGCATAACTACACATTTTTTGGGGTAAAAATGTGAATATTCCATATCTTAAATGAACTTCCCGAGTTACGGACCTTCAGTACTGTAGTGCAGATTTTGCTCAAATTTTTTGCGCCCTACTTCTACATAGTACATTTAGGTCGATTTTGCTTGCTCGTAATTTTCCGGATCAGCTGTAGAACTTATAAAAAAATAGCGTGCAGGTTGAGAATCTCTGGAGTGTACTCGAAATTAACCGTCACAAATTCGGTTGTCACTCATGCAGAATTAATGGAATGTGCACCAAAAGTTCTGCTGCATATTGTACCCTAAATTTATTTAATACAGTTGAACCTCTCTAAGTCAAATTTCTAGGGACCAGAAAAAATTCAACTTAGGGCGGAGGTTTTGACTCGGGTAAGTTTTGATTTTTGGAGGTTTCCGGTAAAGGAAACAAACACTTTTGTTGCAATGAGAAGTGTAAAAATTGCGGGAAATTTTAAATGATATTCTCAGCCTAAACTTGCTCCTTAATGAGTTTACACCTTGCTGAACTTCGAGACAGGGGTTTCTTTGCTCAATTAGTCTTTCATTTCCTTTCAAAATGTATCAAATTATTTGTTTTAATCATTTTCTCTTCCATATTTCAAGGAAATAACCAAAAGACCTCTGCATATTGGACTTACAGAGGTTCTGAAGAAAAATACTTTGAGTTAGAGAGGTTTTTAATGCATTGATTCTGAGGTAATTCAGA